TAAAGATTCATCTAAAAAATGGGACAGAACAAATGTTGTATACAAGTTTGACCAGCAACATATATAGGTGAAACAAAACGATCATTGTTAACTCGCATAAATGAACATAAAAAAGTAAATGATAACTCTGTAGTTTACCGCCATCGAATTAATTGTAATCATGACTTCGATTGGGAAAATGCCAAAATTTTGGACAATGAACCAAATTTTATAAAACGACGAATATCTGAAATGATCCATATAAAAACAAATCATTCCACTATTAATAGAAAGGAAGATATTTTCACTCTAAACAGAACTTTTTTTCCTCTTCTCAGACGTTTAGACTCTTGTCTATAATGACACAACAATAACACAACTTGCTCCCTCTATGATGAAACTGTGTTTACATTCGGTTTATTGACTTTTTCTTTATCTTGATTCTTTTGACTTTCTCGAAATAGCAAATTTTTAATTTATTTCAGTTGACACTGAACTAGTGTGCTGAAATGTCTTCCTCTCATATGAAGAAACTTTTCTTTATTAATACATGTGGAAATTTTTATAAAAAAATATTTTTTCTCTATGAAATCTTTTTTATTTTGACGAGTTAGAACGCGATTTTTATGTTTTAACGAACTTGGTAGGATATTCTTTAAACATATTTTTAGTATAGTGTATAGTGTTGTTTTAAACCTTTATAAATATTGAAGTGTTTTTCTGTTTAAATAAATTTAGCCTGATGAGGTTGGCAAACCTTTGCCAACGAAACGTCGCAATTTTGACGATACATTGAATTTTTTCAATTCTTCACCTTCCCATGATCATTTATTTTACTACTAACAAACTTCATATTTGTAATCAGCGACCCCGAAAACGCCCGAGTGAGTAATTTCATGCAATATTATCGATATTAAAAAAATTTATCTGCCATATTGGATCCGCCATTTTGAATTTTTAAAATTAAACTTCATATTCGTAATCAGCGACCCCGAAAACCCCCAAGAAGTAATTTTCAAATGATTTAAATCAAGTTTTGAATATTGATGATGCATTTGCTATTTATCAAGTATTTTGCTCTGATTTTTCTTCCAATTTGGATCCGCCATCTTGAATTTTCAAGTTGTCAAGTACACAGTTCGAAAGTAGAACTATTTTATTTACCAATAGCATACATGAGACCCGCCCAAAAAAATCTTTTTCATGTGAAAAGCGTGTTTCAAAAAAAAAACCTTACTATTTTTTCGGTATTTTCTCCATTTTGGGCGCCATATTGGTTTCCCTGATGGTCGAAATGCTTTTTTGACCCCGGATTCTGAAAGAGCGGACCTCAATACCCCTTAGTACTAAAGGGTTTTTAAAAGTCTAATCATTTAGGATAAAAATTCTTACCTTGAACTTCAGTCAAAAATTTTGGACATTTGGGCGTTAATGGGTCTAACATTGTACACATAACACTTAAAACTAAATTTGAAAAATCTCGCACGCAGGAGGGCTGGAACCCAGAACCTTAGGGACGCAAGTCGAATACACATGTCACTCAGCCACGCTAGCTTGGAAGATATTTTTCTTGAACTACCTTTTAAGTTTCGGGACTATATTGATCTCTTTTTATCTCTTACTCTATCACTCTTTATCTCTCAGTTGATCTCTTTTTTAAAAGAACAGAATAAATGTCAAAAAAAAATTATTGAGATAAAAGAATAAAGGCCTTTTTCAATAGAATTGGAAAGAAATAGACTGATATAGAATCGAGGGGATGTTAGGATAAAAAGGAAAGAAAGTAAATGGTAAAATAATTAATGGAGATAAAATAAAGGTTATTAAAAGGGATTGAGCAAAAGTGGGTGATGGAAAGAGATTGAATCGAATCGAGAGGTGATAGACTAAGATTAAACCCAAGGTATAAATGGTGATGAGTGTGTACTAAGATTAAAATGTGGATAAAAAGAGAGAAGTACAAGGATAAAAAGGATTGAAGGGTATATAAAACAAAAGTTATTTAGAAAGATAAGGAAAAAAATAAATAGTAAGATTCAAATCAGGATAGAAAGAGAATGAAGTGAATAGTAGTAGGATTAAAAGAGATAAAATAAGGGTTATTAGAAGAGGTTGAGAAAAAAGATGAGATAAAAAGAGATTGAAGGGATTAAAAAAGGAAAAGTCTGGGATAAAGGAAGGTCATACACAGGAAAAAAGAAGTGTTATTTTAACACTAAAAGTAGTGTTAAAACAACACGCAACATTTTTAACCGATACTGTGTGATTTTAACACTTCATTGATGTTAAAATAACCCTAGAGCGTGTTAAATTAACACAAGAGGGTGTTAAATGAATATACATTTTTAATGGGGTTAAAATAACATCAAAATTGTGTTAAAACAACACCGCCTGAAAACTACACGCAACAAATTTAACACATATTATATATAAGCAGAGATCAGTGTTTTCTTAAATTAAAGTAGCGACAGAAAAGGAAGAAAGTAGATAGGAAAAGTATTGAAGAAGATAAGAAAAATGTTATTCAAAAAGATTGAGAAGAAGAGAAGATAGAATGCGATAGTAGTAATAAAAATGGGGATAGATTATAAGAAATAAACTTTATCTGTTTCCATCTCAGAGATAAACAAATATTCAAAGAGATAGGATTTATATCCCTTTACTTCCAGCAGGGATGGCATTAACAGGAATTTACCGTTTCGTATTATCTCTAACTATCCTTGCCCCGTGAGTCCATATTTCAGTTTTTTCTAATTTTATGGAACAACGTGAATTAATTTGAAAATAAATACGATATTCGTGTTCAGCAGGAAATTTCACTCCGGAAAACACTTACGTAAATAAATATTCTGAAACTCTAATATAGAAAACAATATGATAAACATTACGTTGACATTTTAGCAAAACATTTTAGCAAAACTTCGCAAATGGTGACATATTGCCTTCCAATTTTTACTATCATCTTTTCGTGTTAAGACGCGAATATACCATGAATTACGCGATTTTTGAGCAAGCCGTCTAAGCATAACAGCAACTAACTATCCTTGCCCCATCCTCCCCTACATTGATTTGTTTTGAACGTTACCAAAATCAACATTTATATATCATTAAAAATTTTAAAAGTCAAATATAAAAAAATTGCATTAAATAATTTATAAATACGTAATTTAATATTATAAAATAGTAATAAAGAATATATTTCTCACAAAAGTAAATTTTTTTACAACAAAATAATTAGGGATAGTGAAATGCGAATAAAAGACAACATTGTTATTTCATACATATTTCTTTTCAAATGTCGCTTTATTTTTCATTTCATTCAATAATAAATTGTCTACAATTTGTTCTAAGTTTTTATTATGTCTTGGGGAGTTATTCTCGTAGTCGTGAGAATAAATTTTTTATCGGATTTTGTATGGAGAGATATTTTTTTTCTTTTAAGAATTAAACAGAAAACAATTTATTAGCAATTTGTTTTTTTTTTTTAGTATATAATAATCAGATTGAGCCTTACAAATTTTAAAGTATATTTTTATATGAATGATAAAAATGTGTTTTTGAAAATATTCGTAGAAAACAAATTTTTTTTCAGACGAAGAAGAAATGAAAAATGGAAAGCCATTAAATATCGCAAGTCTGACAAGAAAGCGGCGCGTGTAGAATGCTTCATGTGAATATTATCTATATAATAATATAATTATAAATTGCAAATATACAAAAGAACGAATAGTTAAAATTAAATAAAAGTTACAGAAAAAGTATTGGAAAGAAAATCGACGAAAAAAAAATTTATTTATTATAAAGAGTTGTGTGAGAGTGCACTTTCTTTATATATATATATATATATATATATATATATATATTAGGGTGTCCCAAAAAAATAAAAAGTTTTTTTTTATTGGGTCTCATCCCCTAAAAATCTTTTAATTTGTGTAAAAATAAGAACACAATATTTGGAGATAAAATTTTTTAATAATAACCCGTAGTTCAGAGCCTTTGAACCATAAAAACGCTAAAAATGTAGTGTTTTTTTATTTTTAACATAAATATAAATGTCAAAATATAATGATTAGGGTGTCATTGTAAAGATAATTAAATTACCTTTCGATCCATATGTCACAGTATAAGATTCAATGAAAATTAAGAGTGTTACAGTCGATTAAAGATTAAATTTCATGGAAATTTTGATGATTATTAGACACTTAAGTAAAGAGTACTTTTTTCACATTGAACAGTAAAAAATATTTAGATTTTAATTTTTTTATTAAGAGTCTAACATTACAAAAATCCGTAATTTAATCGTCGATTAAATTCGTCTCAAAATCCGTTACCCGATTTTTAGACGAATTCGATCGACTTTTATGAAGTTCTTCGCCATTTTGAAATTTGAAAAACTGACATTGGACTCTAAATCATCGACTTCAGTATTTCTTAATCACTGATTTTAGTACGTTTAGTGGTTATATCTAAACTTATTGTTTCAATTTTTGCTGCAAATGTTGAAGGAATGATAAAAATTAAAAAAATAGTTTCGTTCACTAAATCTAGTGTATAATTGTCATATTCAATCAAATCGAGGTCCACAAGGGCTAAAAATTTTCGTAATGTTAGACTCTCAATAAAAAAATTAAAACCTAAATATTTTTTACTGTTTAATGTAAAAAAAGTACAAGTTACTTAAGTGTCTAAAAAATAAAAATCATCAAAATTTTCATAAAATTTGATCTTTAATCGACTGTAACACTCTTAATTTTCATTGAATCTTAAACTATAATATATGGATCGAAAGGTAATTTAATTATCTTTACAATGACACCCTATTCATTATATTTTGACATTTATATTTATGTTAAAAATGAAAAAACACTATATTGTTAGCGTTTTTATGGTTCAAAGGCTCTGAACCACGGGTTAATATTAAAATTTTTTATTTCCAAATATTGTGTTCTTATTTTTACACAATTTGAAAGAATTTTAGGGGATGAGACCCAATAAAAAAAAACTTTTTATTTTTTTGGGACACCCTAATATATATATATATATATATATATATATATATATATATATATATATATATATATATTAATATAATCATAACCACAATCATAATCATCATAACCGTAAGCATATCAACGCGATCACTTAAACCTCGCATTTAGCTCTGTCACGAATCATCACTTTTTCTTAAATCAGATTTCAGTCATTTGGCAATTAAAAGAAGTGAAAAAATTCGAAGACAAAGATTTTCAAAGTTATCATAAGAAATCGCAAACAAAACATTCCTTTTTATATTTTCGAATTTTCAAGCAGTAACTGTTACTTAACATTAATTTTATTAATATTTTACTAATCGAAAAATTTTACAATCTTTGTTATTAATTAGTTATGTAACAGTTACCTAACACTGTAATACTCAATGAGTCAACTATTCACTTTTGTAAAAAATTTCCCCAAATTTTATTTGCGATTTCACAACAATTTTTTTATTTGAACTACAAAATACAACGCTTTTTGTGAAAATTATTAATAAATATAAATGTAATACTGATTTAACGCGTGTGCAAAGCGATACAGAGCTATTGCGCTGAAATATTTATGTACCCGTCAGCCATAAGATACGTGATTGGTCGAAACGATTTCTTACTTTCGTTAAAACAATATTAATGTAACAATAATAATAAAAATAATAATAATTAATAAATATAACAATGGAAAAAATCATTGTTCGATATAAAGCCTCTCTGTAACAATGACCACTCGCCTTGTTCTTAACCACATATAGTCAGTCTGCAATTATTTGGAATTCAGTCAAAAATTACTCTTGACTTTCATCCATATATTATAACGGCTAATGCACTTTTTAATACAGTTTTTTATATTTTCGATTTTTTTCTCTCACAAAATGGCTTTCAGGTACGGAAGTAGGTGGGAAATCATTGTACGAAAGATAAACCTCTCTCTCTCTCTCTCTTTCACTCATAATAATTATTAGAAGCGCGATTTGAAGCAATTGAAGAAAGACACGTAAATTAAAAAAATTCACTTTTTAGTTAAAAATGGCAAAAGAAAAATGATAAATAAAAAAATTAAAATTGCAAACAAAGAAAATTGCTCAAAAATAATGGTCAGAACCAATTCACGATTCAACCATAGCCGTTCTTGTTGCGCGATACTCAATGCAATATTTATTTATATATGTATAATATATTTCTTGTCAAATTGTGTAAATTACACTAAATGAGAAAAAAATAATTTGTCCTGGCAATAAAGTTTATTGGTTGAGTGTAATTTTGATTACCTAAATCAAATAATTTCGTTACATTAGGGAAATATTTTGGTTGAACGAAAAATTTGGTTATTTCAGATTTAAAATATTTTGATTGAACCAAACAATTTCGTTGACTCAGCCAAATATTTTGGTTCAACAAAACAATTTGGTTATTTCGAACAAATATTTCGGATGTATCAAATAATTTGATTGACTCATGTAATTATTATTAAGAAATTGGTTAAGTCAATCAAATAATTGGTTAACTTAGCCAAACATTTTGGTTCAACAAAACAATTTGGTTTCTTTAAACAAATTTTATATCTAAATCAAATAATTTCGTTACTTTAAATAAATACTTTGGCTAAACGACAAATTTGGTTATTTTAGACAAATATTTTCATCCCTCACAGCACGGGATATCCCGCGAATATCCCATTTCCATCCCGTGATATCCCTAGGATATCTCACGGGACGGAAATTTGGATATCCACGGGATATGCAAAGTTTTCTTTCGTGGGGCATTCCGTGTGGGATATCCCGCGTGGGATATGTCAGCGCATGCGCAGGAAACGAAATGCAATCGTTCCAAGTGTCAAAGAGTGTGTGTCAAAGAGCTGTGAAATTATATTTAACGCATTTAAATTAGAAAAAGTTTGATTAGATATTTGTTGCATTAAATTAACGAAAGTGGAAAATAAATATATTTATAAATTCAGCTTAAAGTGTATGATTTTTTAGTTACTTTTTTTGGTAGATGATATATTAAATTATTCAAATATTTATTCTAACTACATTCTAAACAAATACTGCATGAATTACTAGATTAATTACTGAAAATCCAGTATATTTTTCCCTTTAAACAAGAAGAAATAAAATTTTATATATATGTACTCATATAATCTTACACACGCATGCTTCGACCTTCCCAGCTGTTGAGTGTCATGGCGACCATGGCGTCGCGTCATTAGATTAGAAGCGCATCAGAAGTTTGTGTTTTGCAGTGTGTGATTATAAGTGTTGCTGTTTAATATGTTTAACTTTCACATTTTTTTAGTTTCTTGTAAATATCTTTAACCAATAAATATTCATCAGTAATAGACGATATGAATTGACCAAAATTAGTTTAAACCCACACACAATAAATGTTTAGCGTTAAAAAGACATTTTATTGAATTCAACTAATGTTTATTAAATCACAAAAATATAACTTTGATATTAGTCAAATAATCTTTTATTTTTAAAATAATTTTTTTCTCATTCTAGTTATAATTAAATAATGGTTTTTCAACTCTTTAAAGCTTTAATTATTTTTCAACATATTACTATTTCTCACGTAGCATATCCCGTGTGGAGAATATTTGGATATCCCGCGCGAGTCTCCCATGGCATGGAAATTTGGATATCCCAGGGATATCTCAATATCCCGCGAGATATCTCTAGGATATCCCTGGGATATCCTTTTGCTCAGAGGGATTGCACAACAAAAATTGGTTGACTCAAGCAAACATTTTGATTAAAACAAAAGTATACTTTAGTTGAACAAATCAATTTGGTTACTTCAAAACAAATACTTTGGCTAATCGAGAGAATTTAAATACTTCAGACAAGTATTTGGACTTAACCAAACAATTTAGTTCACTCAGTCAAATCTGGTTAATCAAAACACTTAGGTTATTTCAAACGAATATTTTGGATAAACCAAACAAATTGATTAACTCAGCCAAATATTTTAGTTAAATAAAACAATTTGTTTAACTCAGCCAATTATTTTGGTTAATAAAAAAAATTGGTTAACCTCATATAATTATTTTGGTTAAGAAAAAGAATTTGGTTAACTCAGACAATTACTTTGGTTAAAAAACAATTTGTTTAACTCAGCTAAATATTTTGGTTAAACAAAACAATTCCGTTAACTTAAACCAAATAGATAGATAATTAATAACTCAAGTTAACCAATTTGGTTACTTCAAACACATATAGTTTGGCTGAATGAAATAATTTGATTGACTCAAACAATTATTTAATCTAATATAAAAATTGGTTAACTCAATTTTGATTATTATAAATATTGATTTACTCAGGCAATTATTTCGGTTGCAGTAATCAATTTTGTTTATCCAAGCAAATACTTTTGTTAACTCAAGCAAATACTTTGGTTAATTCAAGTAAATACTTTGATTGACTTAGACAATTATTTTAAATAATTATTATTACTTTCATTATTATTAAAAACAATTATTTACTAAATTGTTTTGTTCAACCAAAATATTTGGCTGAGTCAACCAAATTGTTTGATTTAACCAAAATTTTGACTAAGTCAACCAAATTGTTTGATTTAACCAAAATATTTGACTAAGTCAACCAAATTGTTTGATTTAACCAGAATATATGACTGAGTCAGCCAAATTGTTTGATTTAGATTAAATAAATTAATAATTATAGATTATTTTAATAATTAAGGTAGGGTGGGGCATTACTATTCTTGTTTGGATTTTTGAGTCTAAAAAGTGTATTTAAAAAAAATAAATAAATGAGTAGGACCGTTTGAAAACTTGACTTCTTAGCTACAATTTTGCCATGTATTATTTTGCTGTAACTTGATTCTGTTCCAAACTACAGCGATTTTACGAATTTTTTTTTTATGTCGAAAAAAACAAGGGGCGTAACTATTCTTGCAGCTATTAATGATATAATACTAAAAAAATATAAAAATTAACTTGTTAATTGTAGGATTTTTTCTGGTTTTTATCTTTCAATTTCTTACCATTCTAACCTAAAAACAAGAACACAAAAAATACACTGTTTCATAGTTTTCGCTGTTATCAGTGGGCGAATAGTTTCGACCCATCCGCACATTTTTTGAAAAACACTTGTAAAATTTTTGAACAATAGAATATCAAAAATCGATTATGATATTCGTGTTCAGCACTAAATTCGACTTTAGAAATAATTTTTCCGACCGTTTATCACTATTTACAATGGCAGACTAAATGAGTAAAAACCAGGAAGGAAGAGTAAGGAGACCGAACTCTGCTTCTACAAATGTCTGAGAAATATGCACGAAAAGTGACAGACTCACTGTGTTCTAGTTGATCACCAATTAAGTCGATCATGCGCATTGAACTAAAGTTCAGTGTTGACATAGATGAAAAGTGTGGTTATGTCAAGGTAAATATTACATAGTTTAAACAGTGTTAATTTTAAAAGCAAATTTATTTATTTGCAATTGTGATATTATTTAGATTTTCAAAATAATTTAATAATATATTTATGAAAAGGGAAAAATTTTGCGAAAATGGTTAAGAAGAATTGTGTTTATAACTAGAGTATATTTACATACCGTAGAAGGATAGAAGAGACTAATGTTTTTAGACTCTTTTTCTTTCTTTACATCCTGGCACACAACACGACATTTTTTAAATAAAATAAATAAATAATTATTAAAACGAAATGTATTGTATATGTATGTATCTCACTAAGGCGGGCTAGATGTAAACATTAGATCTTACATCTCACTCGCACAATTTTTACGAGAAACAGAGACACAACAAAGCTTATGCGCATGATCAACTTAATTGGAGGTCGACTAGAACACAGTGAGCCTGGCACTTTTCGTGCATATTTCTCTGAGATTTTTAAAGCGCTTTCTACACAGAGTTCGGTCTCCTTACTCTTCCTTCCTGAATGTGACGTACAATGTTCATTTCATATGACAAGTATACAGTGTAAAAGGGACTTCAATCGGATGAATAGTTTTCTCTTCAGGACTAAAGAATAGTTACGCCCCGCGAATTGTAATGCCCCACCCTACCCTACATAAAAAATGTAGTCGATTTAGGCAAATATTTTGACTAATTCAAATAGTCTGGTTAATTTAGAAAAATATTTTAATTAAATCTAAAAATATTTTTAATATGAGCAATAAAAAACTGTTTAGTCGAATACGATATTTTCTTATTTTTTGTCAGCCAACCAAATTTTTTACTACTAGGACCAAAAAATTTTTCTTTTCAGTGCTTAACGCTTTTTAATATCAACGACCATAAAAGATTTTAGCGATCCACGTCATTTTGAGATCGTTGTATCTAACTATGATATATCTACACGTTACTTACATTCTTTATCGATTATTTATAAAGACGTGTGGCAACGGCTGACGGAGGCTCTCTGCCGACGCTTTTATTTATTTTATTTTTCATTTATGTTCATTAGCGATGTAAATTACCGTAAAATAGATGTAAATTACTGAACATATATAATATACAATTCTCGCACAACATTATGTCCTTCTTTTTTTAAAAAAAAATTTCACACATACACGCCCACTTAATTTTTTTTTAATTGTGCATTATCGTATTATATAGTATTATATTTATTATTTCATTATTTATTTTTTTTATTTAATACGACGTGAACTTCCTGAGCGTTTAATGCATCTGTAATATTTACATGATTGAACTCTAAGATTTTTTTTAGTCAAGAAGCTATCAGTGCTTTTTTTGTTCTTATTTGAGAAAGTTCTTAATTATATTAGGTATATTTACACAGAGTGATCTTATTTAACAATTTAACCGCTCATTTGTTTTTCTATTTTTTTCCATTTAAAATCACCCTACACGCGTATCTTAATATATATATTTTTTAATAATTTCATTCTATTTCTTCACTTTTATACATTCTTATTTTCTTCATTTTCATTTTTGTTGCGACTGATTTTGACTGTTCGGTGAAAATGAACGTCAAATGAAACAATAAAAATGAATTTCTGATTTAAAATAAAAGTCAAAGTGACAATGTAAGTGAAAATAAAAAAAATAATTGCACCCTAAATTGTGGTCAATATGCATTCCCTCCACATTAATAACAACAATAATAATAATATTTTGATAAACGAAAAATGAAGTAAAAAAAATACAAAAATACAAAAAAATTACAAAAATCAGAAAAAATTAAGAATGTGGAGAACTTACTAAAATACCTAAACAATTTTAAACAAATATTTCATTTTTTTAAGATAGTTCCTTTTTTATTTTTTTTATTCTCACAAACATTTCCTTTCATCAACAATACAATTTTCTGTTTCACAAACAATAGCACTTCGTTTCTGAATTTTTTTATTCAACATAATCAGTTTTTTTTAATATATAATATTCGATTGACATTTTGTTTTTTCCCTATTAATGAAATATTTCCATATATTGTTATTACATATTTTTTTCATTAACAATTTACAAATTCATGATATAAACAAATTGCAATATTTCATAAATTATTATCCGACAATTGTAAGGCCCAATAGGAAGGAGGGGGAATTTTTGTAATATTTTCAAAAATATAAAATTTTCAAAGTTGAAAATTTCAAATCTTTTTATTTATCAAGTAACGAAAAAAAATTTAGAAATTATTTACAAACAATAAAAAAATTGTTTATTAATTTTTTTTTTTTATTAAAAAAAAAATTTTTTTCTTTTGAATTCAATTTATTTCAATAATAGACAAAAGGAAAAAATAATTTTTATATCACGAATCCGTCGTGCAATACAATCCACGATCACTCTGTATATAAAATACGCAGTAAATTAAATGTGTTCTTTGTAAAGTTGTATATTTTCAACTATATAGAATTGAATACTGGGTTTTTTGTTATTTATTTAAAAAAAAAGAAAATTCTGGCTTAAATAACAATTACGGTAATATACACCTCTATATTATTTGTGTCTCTCGTTTCATTCCTGATGACATTTTTCAGTTAAATTTCGTTCAGACCCTTTACAATATAAATAATTTTCGCCAAAATAAGAAAAAATTAAAATTAACTACTAATAATAAATAATTTTTGATTCTAATATTTTTCACAATATAGCAACAACAATTACAATAACAAGATTTTTTTTCATTAATTAAAATATTTTCAAATTGTAAAATATTTTTCTTTTTTCTTAAAAATAATTTTTGCCATATTTATGACATACTTTCTTGAAAACATTTTTTTTAAATACAATTTCTTAACTTTTTTTTCTAAAATAGATTTTTAAAAAAATAAATATGAATAGCGATACAGATAGCATGTATTCTTGCGGCAAGCTTACCGTGAAAATTTCGCAAACTTGCATTGCAAGCTTGTCGCAAGTTATTAAATGCCCCACAAATAGGAAGCTTGTTATGTAAGTTTCCTGCAATATTCCCGGTAAGCTTACAGCAAGCTTGCAGGAAACTTACCATGTAAGCTTTCTGCAATATGTCTGTTAAGTTTGCAGGAAGCTTGCTGGAAACTTGCTATATAAGCTTGCTGCATTATTTTCGGTAAACTTTCTACAATACGCCTGTTAAGCTTGCAGCGAGACCAACATGTAAGCTAAAAGTTAATTACTAATTATTTTTATTAATTCTTAAATTTTAACTTAATTTCTATATAATATAATATGATTCACTTCTGATTCCCAGTTACCTGTTGCTACTTTAGAACGAATTATTGATAGTGCTGTGACTTCTCTTAAGTGTCAAATTTCAGAAGTGTCTGAATCCCTGTCAAATAAAATTGATAATGTTGCTTTAACTATGGACCATAGGATCTCTGATGCTGAAAATAAAATTGTTGACCTCTTGGATAGAGTTGTTTCTATTGAAGGTACTCTCAAATCTTTGCCAATTAATAATATAGATTTTTCTAATGATATTGCTCAAAATTGTTTGTATGAGATTGAAAATAGACTTTTTAAGAAGAAAAATCTTATTCTATTTGGTGTTCCTGAGTGTGAGAACTATCTTGAAAGATTTTCTTCAACTTCTGAAAATTTAATTCTGCATGTGTCTACATTGTTGAAGGATTCCATACCAGCTGATTTGTTTACCACTACCAAGTTACTCAGAATAGGCATTCCTTCACAGACTCAGCAAAGGCCACGCCCACGGAGGATTGTTTTCGACTCAGAAGTAAAGGCACGTCATTTTCAACGAGTTTTTCTCGATATCAAAAAGAAGTTTTCTTAGGCAGTGCTAAAAGGTATTTATTTGGTTGACACTGGACAAAACCAGGGCTCAGCTTCAGGAATTACAATCTGTAAAGAACGAAATGGAAACTTGACGTCAGAAGGGAGAGCAAAATGTGAAATTAATATTTCAGAGGGGACGACCAAAGATATAGTGACGACTGCTCCCACTGCTGTGCCTGGCTGTGCCCGAAACATGAGTGATATGTCTGCTGACAACGTCGATGGTTCTCCTTCATTATCTGATGATCTCTCTCTCCACCCCCCCTCTATTGTTACGTAATGATTGTGCCTTTAAATTTTCTATTTATTTTCAAAATGTGCGAGGAATTCGTTCAAAGATTACAGCACTATGAGTTTCTATTCCATTATTTTTTTATATACGGTTTTCCATTGTTTTTTATATACGGTTTTTGCTTTAACGGAAACGTGGCTGCATCCTGGCGTTCTCACGTCTGAACTTGGTTTTATAAATTATGACGTTTTTTGATGTGACAGAAGTGAGTTCTCCAGTTCTTATTCGCGTGATGATAGATTTATTTTTGTGTTTAATTGTAGACGAAGTTTTAGTCTGCAATATTTAGGATTATTTGTAAAGGGCTTTTTATGCCCGTTTATACATTTAAATAAATAAATAATAATAATAATTAAGTATTAGCTTATATGGCAAACTTGCTGCAAGTTTACACGGCAAGATTCACAGGAAAATAAAAGTCTGACTCCGTTTACGCCTTAAATTCAGCCCATGTATTTCACATAAGTCGGTACTTGTTTAATGGGGCTGACTCCGTTTACACCTTAAATTCAGTTTCGAAAACAGGCTAAAAGTAAACCTTTTTTTTAGTGTGTTCCTATTAGTGGGACATTAGAGATTTGATGACTTGCAAGATTGCAGTAAGCTTGCGAAGCTAGCCCAGTAAGCGAGCCGCAAGATTACGTGCTATCTTTGAATTTTCGAATAATATTCGAATAATAAAAAATAGATACCGACAGATTAGCTCAGTCGGATAGATGCCTGGCGTTGGCGGTCGTTTAAGAACCAAGGGTATAAGTATCCTTGGTTCGCGCCCACTTGGCTTGGTATTTTTCCGGCACGTGAGACAATCTGAGCGGGAAGTTTGACGTCGAGGTATAATGATGTGCACCGTCGATTATTGTCCGGTACACACCATTAGAACTCGACTGTCGATAAACCGGTTGTACTCAGGAGAGGTTTTCTACAGTTTCCCTCTTCTCTGGCGAGAAAACCCATTGACGGGTGGTCCAGGCGCAATGCGAGTACTCCTAATTTTCAAGTCGCTCTGTAGGCGCAAATTAGGTTAATATATAGAAAATTTATGTAGAATGGTTATGCTTAATCCAAAAAAAGTATTTCTCGGGGACTCTTGTCGAAGTGCGTAAGGCCAATAGGGCAGGAGTATAAACAATAAAAAAAATAAATAAATAAATAATAGATTATTTATTATTCGAATATTATTCGAAAATTCAAAGATAGCACGTAATTAGAATTAAAAATATTCACTTCATTAATATAGAGTATTGGAAATTACAGAAAATTTTTTTTACCTTACTATTAGTAAAGGGTCGAACGAAAAAACATTCATTACACATTATATCTTTAACTATGCATTAATAATTAATATGTTACAACAGCAATGACCTTCGGTAAATAACCTTCGGTCTTTTTTCATATTAAAAACGTATCTCCGGCCTTTTCGTAGTCTCGTTGATTAATGTACTACACGCTACGTCGTTACGATGTACAATATCAATTAATTATCAAATTGTTAATTCAATTATTAGAATTACTTTAGAATATTGGTACTCTTTGTGTAATCTCCGATTTGTTTTTAAATCACTGTTACATTTCAATTTTTTTTCCTTTCTGTTCATAATTGCTCTTCGTGTGCATTTTTTTTTACTAAAACTTTCACTCTCGCTCATTCATCTTGCACTCTTCGAATTTTTAATTAATAATACAAGTTACACACCTTCACTGAACAGTTCTTTATCCACAGCGCTTTTTTTAATTTTCTTCCAAATATAGTTGAATCGTGAGTTAGAGTCTTTACTAAAATTATTTACTAACGATATTATGTATATTTTTTTATAAATAATTATATTTTGTACTTTAAAAAAGAAAGTAAAATGTATTTTTGAGATTTGGATGAGTGACTTGAGATTTTTTGAGATCTTACGGAAGAAAAGAACATCAAAAGTATAAAAATAAATAAAAATAATTTAGTTTATAAATATGTAATATAATAATTTATTAAAATGAAGATCAGGTAGTAAAATTACAAATAAAGATTTTAAAAATTGAGTATTCGTGGGAATAATCGCCCCACCTGGAGGAACGCTACGGAATTAAGAATCGCGATGTGAGCGCCTCGTCGAGGGACGCCGTGGAAATAATTTTCCAAAAGGGGTAAAATCTCAAAAATTCTCGTAAATTAATTACCAGATCTCAATGATGATTTAATACAATGCGTTTGGTGGGAATTAGGTGGGTTATTGAGTATTTTTTCGTGTAACTTGAGAGACATATGTTTTAATCTCTCCTTTTTTCGATTATACAAATATCAAGAGTCCAATATGACGATGAGATTGAACATTATTCGAATTTGACTATAAACATTGAGTGTAAAAATTCGTAATTCGCTGAAAATGACGCTTTACAAGGCTTTTATTTAAACGTCAAATTCACAATAATGTTCAGATAATATCATTAGATTTGGATTTCTCGGTTAATTCAAAAGAGCGTTACTTATTCTCGTTATGTTGCTTAAGAAAAAATTATTGTGCCAATAATATATTTTGGGTTACTAGCGAAACCCTAGACAGGCAGTGCAATATGAGTGTGAGTCCTTAAGCAATCTCGAGGCAAGCTTCGGCCTAATATCACGTTTAGAGTCCATTTGCTCATCATTAATTACTTGAGTGTGTTTTTTTTCTCTTTGAATTATTACTTAGTTTACGATTATTATGACTTTTTTTGTTGTTTTTTTTAAAAGATATAGTTTCTTTGGAGCGTCCTTGCTATGTTGCAAAAAATGGAGGGAAATATTTTCTCTAAGCCTCTGGAAAATATTTCGCACTGCAACTTGTGTATTGAAATTCTCTTTTGGAAATCCAAAGGAAAGTTTCTTTTATTCGCTGAATAATAGATATGATCGTAATAATTGTGAAAACGTGACACAATGTTATTTTCTAAACCCTACTCTTACTATTACGTTAAATTTTTAGCGCCCTCCGTTTTTGGTGAGATCAGCATTGATGAATCAGCAAGCGCTTTCCAAGTGGACGCTTTGTTTTCTTCGGGCTTGCCGTTGCCGGAACTGATGGAATTCGGCCTTCATGGCTTGAACTCTAGCCTCAATGTTGTCCCGTGAATATCTCGCTGGCTGATGATGAACGGTGTGGACTTGATGGATTTGGGGCATGTGAATTGGATGCATTTGATGGGCGGGAGGACGTTCCTCTCTGGTGGGTGTGGAGGCGGATGTTGGGGTCGGTGTGCAGGACACGGGGTCAAATTCGTAGTGACCGTCGACACTGCCGGCGTCAACTGCAGTTTGGATATGAGTTAGTGGAGTCACTTTTGGAGCTTGATTCTGGAGCTCCAGCCATTTGCCCACCAGTGGTGGAGGTGGGGGTCTGTAGGGAGGTGGCCTCCATTCCGCAACTGTGCTACCGCTTCGGGAACTTTGATTCTGTTGGGATGTGTTCTTGCTGCCAAATCCGGAACTACTGGACCTGCTCTCTGGTGATGTTTCGAGATCGGGAGAAGCTGCCAGTTCGGGTGCTGAACGTGCGTGCCTCGCGTGTCTAGGTGGAAGTCGTGCTCTGGGCCTGCCGGCCGTTTGTGGCGGGGAGGAAGTAGCCAGGGGTTGAACTGGTACGAACCTCCGGGACTCGGCGTGTATCGCTTTCAGTGATGGTAATTCTTGACTGTAGCGTTGATGGACGTTCCTCAGTTGAATGTAACCCGGAGGTGTTGGGAACGAACGATCTCCGGTTGATGGTTGACGAACTGAACTGAGATCGCTGAGGTAGACCGGCGTCCAGGGAATTTGTGTTCCACTGGGAGAACTTGCCATGAATCTTGGCGACGAGATGGTGCAAATTGTCGGTTGTCTCATTAGCGGAATTCCCAAATGTCCCGGTGTAACAACGCCGATTGAAACGCCACTTCCATCGGACCGTAGACTCAATTGACTTATGTCGACCAGCGGTCGTCTCCAGGATGACTTCAACTTACTCTTCGGTAGAAATCCACCGTCATCACTGCTCGAGGCGTCCAGAATACTGTTGTTGGCTGAACTAAGCACCGAATCGGCTATAACAAACCGACCGTCGGCTGCTCGTGAAATTTTCCCCAGCGGACGATCTCGAAATGAATCTGGCGTATCGGCATTCAGGATATCCCTTAAGAAACTTAGACCTGGTACTCGGCTCTTTCTAGGTCTATAATAGGAGAAAAATCTATCAATTAACGAAGTGGCGATTTATCAAATGGTGGTGTTCGGGCACTGCAGAAAGAAGGGGAAGAAACCAAATTAGAAAATTCCTTTCTCATCTTCCTGCATTTCTCGAGCAGCACAAAAACAAATACGTGCAACATTAACGCAATGTTAATAAACACAATAAAAAAATGAATAGGCGAACATACATTTAAGAATTGGATGATAATGATAATAATGGATGCAGGCTGGGATGCATGCTCATGCCCATTCCAGTGCGTTACATTTTTTTGTAGTTTAAGGTGTGATTTTTTTTCAAAGGTAAAAGGAAAGGTATTCCGTGGAGGATAGTGAATCTTTTTTCTCATAAAAGTTTTTCCACTTTTTTTAAAAATTTAAAAAACGTTTCAATTTCATTTAATAAAATTCAATTTGTGATATAGCAATCGTGGAATTAGGTGCTCCGAAATATGTCACCTTTTCTGCTCCTTCGGGTCCGGCAGCAAGGAAAGATGAAGGGAGAGAGAATGTTGTAACACAACGATTACATTCACAAAAAACAATATTGTTGTAATAATAATAATAATAATAATAATAGTAATAATAATAATAATAATAATAAATATAACGCTAAATAACCGAACATTACTTTTCTAGGCGGTGATGTTAGGGAGTAATTAGATTTATGACAGTGGTAACATGTAGTGTCTACAACGTAGATTATATGTTTCATTCTCGTAAGGGAATTTTTCGTACTTTCTTTTAAATTTGAATTATTTCTTTAAGAAAAAAATAAATGGATTAAGATGGTTAAAAAGGATTTGGCAATAACGTAAAATTAAAAAAAAAATAAAAATATTAAAACACTACCGAGAAGAATAAACATTATTTTAGGAACCATTAGGACCCAGACTGATTCCTGATCAACCCATTTTTTTTACTTCGAAAAATTCTTCACAAAGGAACAATTTTTATAATAGAATTTAAGAATATTAATTAACAAGCTAACATAGTGAAAAATTCATCTTTCTTTGTGAAAATACAATGATTATTTTAGACAATTGAGATGGGAATGGAGAATATTAGAAGCATTTTTACATTTTTTTTCTTTATGCAGATAAAATAAAGTAAACAAAAAATTTAGCCAGGTTCTTTTAAGCCTAAAATGTAAGCAGTGTTATATTGTAATCATAAAAAATTTTTCACTTCTCAGAAATATTATAATATTTAAAACATGAATATTTAATGTTTGTAATATGAAACTTTTTAATTACTATATTTTCAGATTCCATTTGGTATCAATTTTTTATTTAAATTTATGCGTTTATATACTTTATTTTTCAAGTTCTGTTAATTTTATTATTTTATTACAAAGACAAAATGTTAATTTCCAGTCCAGCAGTGGAACAAGCAACGATTGTTACTAATGGTTAAAAATGGATTTGAGTATAAATTTTAAGATACAGATAAAATTAGTTGTCTTTCAAAATTAAGGGTTTTACAACACTTTTAAAAAACGAAATTAGTATCGGAATGTATTGCTGGTTCAGAATGTATACCTACTTTTATTTCTGTTTTTGTATGTGTTTACTTTATGAGTCTTCTAGTATCGATAAACTGAAAATAATCAAGAAAAAAGAAATCTTTATAGAGCCAAAAATAACAATCCGCTTGGATTATAATTGTTTTTTTTCATTTTCAATTTTTTTGCTTGAACAATTTTTTTTATTAATTTTGAAAATAATTCTTTCATCAAAAACTTTTCTTTTTCAAAAATTAATTTTTAATCTTTAATGTAAAACTAACCTCGACTTTATATCATGCTATTGTAAGAAAGGCTGTAGCGATGCATCAGCTGCATGCATCTTATAATTATATAAGATTTGCATAAGCAATAAGAGAAGTGATTTGAAAAATAATACGGAAATGAAGTGTCGCAACAACGAGAATTATTGTAAAACAAAAAATTTTATCAACAGAGTGAGAAGAAAGATTAAATATATTTAAAATATATAAAAATTAAAATTGTTCAAAACAAATTGTCTGAAGTAGAACAAAAATATGATAGACGCATGTTTGGGATAAAATAAAAAGAAGAATTCTCTTTTTTCATCTTTTGGGTCCTATTGTTTGAATTACTGTTAATAATATGACGTTTTTAAATTAATCAAATAAAATTGATTATATATAATATATAAGGTCCATCCATTAGTAGAGGAGACTGGGGTAAACTTCTCACAGGGTAAATCCGCTCACTAGCGATTTGACGCTATGAACTCAACTTAAGATGGAAATTTTTGATATTTTTGTTGTTTGGATTTAGAAAATTTAGTTAAGATGTAATTTTAATTAAAATAAATCCATGGTCTTAGTAAATAAAAATAATTTATTTATAAGCTTTCGCTCGCTGACAGCAAGCCTCTTCAAATAAGTTACATTTATTTTAATCTGTGGAAATATAAAAAAAATATTCCATGAGGATATATAACTTAATTAAGATATATATATATATATATACTTAAGATGGAAATATTGGTACTGTGAATAGTACTTAACATTAAACTTTCGTTTCGTTTCATGAATTCGACATATAATCAGAGGTGGTCGAGTGTTTTTAGAGGTGTCAGAAAAAAACGTTTTTTGGATTTTTAAGTTTTTCGATCATTATTTTTCAGTCTTAATTTATTTGGCAAATTTTTTTTTATGCTATTGGATGTCCTTTTTTGAAGTACATAATACAGTTTTGTTTGATTTCAAAAAGATTTAATTAAATTTATTCTGAAATGTGAGGAATACATTCGGGGTAAAGTTGGTCACGTGAAGTCGGGGTAAAGCCAATCACCTAGTTTTTAATTTAAAATTTAGAATAAAATAATTTCACGTATTATATTTTAACAATAATACAATTTATAACATCTTAAAACCAAAATCCATAGTACACGAAGAAAAAGGAATAGTTGACACATCCAGATACATGGATATCACAGCCATATTATATTGAAAAATACGGGATTACCATAGTTAAGGTTGCTGCATCCATATTCTATGGCTGGCTGTATATTGTTGGAGCAGCAAAAGATCTATGGTTGGGTGATCCATAGTAATGGAAATGGGAAACAAAAAAATTAGAATCACTCAATTAATTAAATTCCATGTCACTTGAGATATTTTATACACCTTTTTGATAATTAATACACACCACTTATTGAATAACCGCATATTTACGAAATAAATTATTAACCGATGGGGGGAGACACAAATTCTAGACCTAACGCATACTAAGCACTAACGCTATCCACTACACTATACACGCAACTACAATATTTGAGAATATAATATTCCTTATATACTCTACACATATTTCATGAAAATGAATTTACATAAACACTAATAGACAATAACGATAATAAATAATAAACAATTATAACACTATTTATACACAATAAACTCACAACGCGATTATATAGACGTGACAGGAAACCGACGCGACGGACAAATTGAGACGACCATTTTTAAATGGATGCCATGATAATGAATTGAGCGCAACATGTATCGAAATTTTGAACTAACTATGGATCTCCCAACCAAAGTTTATATGGATGAGGCAGCCATATGTGAAAATCCATAGCATGAATTGTAAGCCCAACCATGCCCATGGATGTCACATACGTATTTGATTCAACAATATAATATAGCTCCCTCATTCATTGAATATGGAATGTGCTTCCATTCTGAAAGTTGTCTCTTCCATTGAATTGGATAACACAACAATATTCTGCTCAACAATATTTTTATGGATATCTCTTCCAGACCTTTTCTTTCCGTGTAACGCTATCCACTACACTATACACGCAACTACAATATTTGAGCATATAATATTCCTTATATACTATACACATATTTCATGAAAATGAATTTACATAAACACTAATAGACAATAACGATAATAAATAATGAACAATTATAACACTATATATACACAATAAACTCACAACGCGATTATATAGACGTGACAGGAAACCGACGCGACTGGACGCGACGGACAAATTGAGACGACCATTTTTAAAAGGATGCGCCATGATAATGAATTGCGCGCAACATGTATCGAAATTTTGAACTAACTATGGATCTCCCAACCAAAGTTTATATGGATGAGACAGCCATATGTGAAAATCCATAGCATGAATAGTAAGCCCAACCATGCCTATGGATGTCACATCCATATTTGATTCAACAATATAATATGGCTCCCTCATCCATTGAATATGGAATGTGCTTCCATTCTGAAAGTTGTCTCTTCCATTGAATTGGATAACACAACAATATTATATATATATATATATATATATATATATATTATTATATATTATTATAATTATATTATATATATTATATTATATTATTATATATATTATATATTATATTATATTATATTATATTATATTATATTATATTATATTATATTATATTATATTATATTATCCCACACAGCACATGATATTTCCTAAATATTTCCTGAATATTTCACTGAAAGATTGAAATATTTCAGTGCAAAGTTCTAGAAATATTTCTGCAAACAGGAAAATGTCCGCTTATGTAGGAATACACGGAAAGAAAAGGTCTGGAAGAGATATCCATAAAAATATTGTTGAGCAGAATATTGTTGTGTTATCCAATTCAATGGAAGAGACAACTTTCAGAATGGAAGCACATTCCATATTCAATGGATGAAGGAGCCATATTATATTGTTGAATCAAATATGGATGCGACATCCATAGGCATGGTTGGGCTTACAATTCATGCTATGGATTTTCACATATGGCTGCCTCATCCATATAAACTTTGGTTGGGAGATCCATAGTTAGTTCAAAATTTCGATACATGTTGCGCGCAATTCATTATCATGGCATCCATTTAAAAATGGTCGTCTCAATTTGTCCGTCGCGTCGGTTTCCTGTCACGTCTATATAATCACGTTGTGAGTTTATTGTGTATAAATAGTG